AACCAAACCAAACCAAACCAAACCAATCCAAACCAAACCAAACCAATCCAAGCCAAGCCAAACCAAACCAAACCAAACCAAACCAAATGAAACCAAACCAAACCAATCCAAGCCAAGCCAAGCCAAGCCAAGCCAAACCAAACCAAACCAAAGCAAACTCACTGCCGTCGAGTTGATGCTGACTCATCCTGACCCAAGTGCACTTTAGACTGTACCTTTTTACAGGAGTAGAAAGCCCTTTCTCCCTCGGATCGGCTGGTGGTTTCGAACTGCTGATCTTGCAGTTAGTAGTCCAACACTTAACCACGATCTCAGCAGGGATCCTCCACAAGTCCATCGAGCACAGGCAGATTCGTAGAGACAGAAAGTACATTGGAGGTTAGTTCCCAGGGTTTGGTGGAGGGGGGTTGTGTATGTCTTACTTAATGGTCACAACATTTTTGTAGGGGATGAAAAATGTTTTTAAAGTACATAATGGTGAGAGTTGTACAATACTGTGAATGTAACCACTGCTACTGAATCGCACACTGTAGAAATGGTTACAATGACACATTTTGCTTATACGTTTTTAACTACAACACATAAGCACATTTGTTCCATTGCTTCGTCAGCTTGTGGAGACATTTCAAGTGGCATTCCATCACTCCCTGGATCCTTGTCTTTCACGAGCTCCTTCAGTGCAACTTGGAGTTCTTCCTTCAGACCTTTGGTTCTTGACCATATACTACTTCTTGAAATGCTAGAATGTGGACCAATTCTTTTGGTACAGTGACTGTGTATTCCTTTCATATCTTTTTAAAAAATTAATCAGTTAACTACATTTTATTATGAATTAGGTGAAGGTTTCCAGAACAAATCACCAGTTTTGCATTCAATACATTTATGCTCATTTTGTTTCAATTTTTCAAAACTACATTTTGAAAGTCATGGTGAACTGTTCATTTTTCTTCCCTTCACATTCAAAAATGTAATTATAACGAATGCTTCATGCATCCTTCCCCTCCGGATATCTTCTACCACAAGTTCACAGTCCAGGCTCCAATGGGTAGAGAAGGGGGTGAACATGGTAGACCTGGTGCCTCTAAGAGTTATTTCTCACTTTATGGGATCATCCATGCTCATATGTGCTTGGAGGTTCAAGAGACCAAGGAGGGAGTGAATACCATGTGGTCCCGCCCCCCACCCCATCCTGTGGTACAGATGGTTAAGGTGAGTGCTTGTTAATGGAAGGGTTCACGCCTCTCAGAAGCACCTTGAAAGAAAGATCTACTTCTCAAGAAGACCATCCGTGGACAACCCTACGAAGCACAGGTCTACTCTGACACACATGGGGCCCTCAGGAGTTGGAGCTGACTCAACGTCAACTGGTTTGGGTTTTTAAGATGGCCGCCGCAAAAAATGAAGCAAAGCAGTTAAGTAGCGCCATCCAGGCACTGCCAGAGGGGTTCTGGTTTCAGGTCACTGGACACTCCTGGCCAAAGGTGACAAGGACAGCCATGGGAAGAGTCTGGCACAGTTGGAAGTTCTCTTGGCTCGCCCTCTCCCTTCTCGTGGAATTTGGACTCAGTGCAGCTTGATGAAGCAGAAAGTCAATGGTTACTGTGTGATTGACTTAAAAACGGTGACACTGGAGATCCATTTCTTCCAGACTTCTCCAGGATCGTATGTCAGGGTTCAACCCAAGAGGTCCAACCTCTGCTGGCTTGGCAGAGGAGACAGGCCTGGTCGAGGAAAGTGAAGGTGTCCTCCAGGCTCCATCCCAGCCCTTCCCAGCGGAGAACACGGCAAGAGAAATCAGGACATCCTGAACGCGGAGAAGCATTCAAAGAGAGCTCAGGACTTTCTGAACGTGGAGAAGCACTCAGAGTAGGCACATGGGGCCTTCCAGAGTCTGAGTAACCAGGGGGACACAGAGCACCTGCAGGGCAGAGTGACTTTCTATGACCTAAGGAACAGCCAGGGCCAAATGAGACTTCCTGCTATTGTGAACACTGGTTATGACTTAAAAAAAAAATCACTGGAGAAAATTGTTTCCTTTCCAGAAACATCTCTCTTCTGGGGGACAGGCTGACCTTCCCCGAGTGCCAAGGCCTTTCCACACCTGCTCTGGGAGGGGTCAGCTCAAGAAGGGTCTGGGGCAGGGCGGTGGTTGAGGGTTGAGGTGCTCCAGCTGCACACGAGTTTGGAACCAGCCCCCGGTGATCAGGAGACTCAGCCTCGGGAAAGAGGATGTAAGCGCTTCAGCATGTGACCAAGCCCCGCTTGACTCAGCACCGTGTGGGCCGTGGAAAGCAGCTCACATTCAGTTTTATGTGCGTCCAGAGAGCCCCAGGCCTGGCGCGCCGGCCGCAAGCCTGTGGAAAGCAAGACCGTGGTTTTCTCCGGTTCCTACAGGGAGCCCGAAATAGCATGCTGTCTTTTGTCCCAGGGGAGCTGAGGCAACGTGCCTGGTGTGGGTGCCATCGACCACAGGCTCCTCTTTGTTCCTCCCTCCCACCTCTTCCCGCTCCAGATGCTGTTTTCCATCCCTTGCTCCTCTGACCCTTGTCCCACAGCCTGGTGGGGACCGTGGGCAGGGCTTGGCTTCCTGCCAGGTATCTGGGTGAAGGAAGGTGGTTCCCAGGCTTCTCTGTGACGAGCCCCAGTTGCCAATGGCAGGGACAGGGTGATGGTATCCTTCTGGCATCAGTATTGCCACCCCAAAAGGCATCTGTACGCCCAGCTCACCCTGACCTGAAGGCCATTAGAAACCTTTGACTTCTTTGAGGCAATCACTTTGGTGTCGGGCACAGGCTTCCCGTGGCTGCCGTTTTGTTTTATTAACTGAGACCCACAGTAAGAAAGACTGTGAGCTTCACCTTGTGGCTCAGGGCTGTATCAGGTCCTGGGTGGTCCATATGCCACTCCCTGTGCAGGCCTCACCTGTGGCTGTCTCACCTCAGCGTCCCTGACGTTCAGCCATCAGGTGTCCTGGCAGGAGACCCGAGGGATAGCCACCCCAGCTCCTGTCTCCCCACCTCTCTGCCAAAATGATCTCCTCCTGCAAGCCCAAAGGTGGGAACGAACCCCCCTGAGCACTTCGCTCTCTCTAGTCCCCGCGCCATGCCCACGTCTTAGTGGGTGTGCTGCTGAGTGTGGGTCGCCAGGGAGCCCATGCCGACTCGGTGACCAGGACGCCTCTGCTCAGGTGCTCCTCAAACCGCCCGACGAGAATGGGACTCTGATTCATAGACAGAGCTACATGGTGTGTGTGTGTGTGTGTGTAGGAGCCCTGGGGGTGTGTGTATGTGTGTATAGGAGCCCCGGTGTGTGTGCGTGTGTGTGTGTATGTGTGG